TAATTCATATTAAGATATCAAATTTTGTAACAATTAATTAAATATATGAATTTTAATTAATAACTTGAATAATTTAATAATATTTTTTTAAAATAAAAATAAAAAATCTTAAATTTGATTTGAAAGTATATAAATGACATAAATATAACCAATAACTTACTGGTTTAAGTGAAAAGAAATCGATTTCTCTTAAATAAGATCTCTAGTTTGAGTTTTATAAATAAAAAAATAAATATTGAAAAAATTTCTCTCATATGAAATCTGACTCTGAATTAGTCAGAACTCAATATGATTTCTGAATATCGAAAATTAATAAAAAAAACATAAATATAAAAAAAATGCAGGTGCGGAAATGTTGCCCTGCAATTCGAAATAAATCCTTTTTATGTACCAAAAAAAAAAAATAAATCCTTTTTAAAAAAGTACTAACCTTAATTACATACTCTACATCAAAACTATTTAATACTGAGTTATTCTCTCTTTTTCCTTCTCAAGTTGAATTGTGATTGACATAGAGTTAAATGCAACCTTTTTTTTTTTACTCTCAAATGTAAAATTACACGCACTCTCATATAAACCCACAATATGAATTCCAACTGTCCCTTCACCTGCTCCTTAGACCGTTACAAAAGTTTTAAAACAATCTCTCCGAGGTCCTATTTGAAAAATGGGTGAATCAAATCACAACATAAACATTTAAATTAAAATTAAGTGACGATAAAATAAGACAATTCATGTATATTTCTTTTAATGGATTTATATTTCGAGAATTGAGATTCGAACTCTGATTTTTGAATTAAGGTATACACTTGTATTATTTATAATTATTTAACGTAAGAACCATCTGTTAGGTATTAATTATATTTGAAAACACATTTTTCTTTTTACAATGCAATTTTTTTCGACTAACAATGATTGAATTGACCATTCATGATTGCAAGCCCAGATAGAGGGAGTATCCAAGAAGGATGGCATCTTCGTCGTTTTCTACATTTTCAGGGTATCTTCCTATTGCCTTTCTACTCAAACATTTTTCTTTTTATGCCCAAACAGTTCGAGTTAGACCATAGAAAAGGTTTTCCAATGTTTTTATTTTGATTAATTTGAAAAGAAAAAGAAAAAGAAAAAAGTAATGCATGACTCTGTGACAGAATCAACTGTTGGGTAATTCCGTCGGTACACCGTGCAACCTTTGCGTTTCCTGCAATGCCGAAAGACAAACAAATCAAATCTTGTTGCTATGATTTGACCGCATTTCACTCTATGAACATCGATCCCATATGGCCCCGCTCACTAATCTGATCCTGACAATTAGTTTCGACAGCCGCGATTTGCTTGGAAGTTTTGAACCAAGTTTAGAATCATGAAATGGGGTCATTGTAATGGCCACATAAACAATTGTTACTTAATGTCTCACAATAACACTATAGTTGTATGTGGTTTAATTATTAAATGTAGTTAATAATTATAATTATTAATTAATATACTGTAATTATATAAACGACTGAAATAATTTAGTAATAATTTTTTTCATTAAAAATAAAAGATTTTGAATCTGAATCACATAGTATATAAGTGGGGTGGTATAAAGGATGAGAAAAAGTTATCTCCTATTGTGCAATCAATTATAAAAAAATACTATAATTATAAAATAATTAATGTTTATAATTTAATAATTAAAAAACAAACTTTTAAAATAATACTTTTAAATATTTTAACAATTTAGAAAATGATAAAATCAAATAAACTTAACATAATTCTAACATTTTATGAATTTTACTTCTTTTACCTTATAATAACTATTTTTTTATTTTTTAAATTAAAATTTTAAGAATTATTTATATGTTTATCTATATTATTTTTTAAGAAAAAGTTAAAAATAAATTAAACTATTTTATAAGAAAATAATTAATCAAAATAAATAAATAATAATAAAATTAAAGTAAAAATATTTATTTATTTAAAAAATAAAATAACAATTAATTTTAAATAAATTTAAATTTTAAAAATAAAAATTATTTTAAAATAAATAAAATAATTAATATTTATTTAAAAAACAATTTTATTTAGATAATTATTTAATTAAAATAATCTACATAATATTTAAAGTGAAATTAATAATAATTTATATTATTAATATTTTTTTTAAACAAATTCATAAAAAACTGAATTCAAACCGTTACTGTAAAAAAAAAAAATACTTATATATGATTTAACATCACTTACCCAAAGATACAAGTGTATTTTATATTTTTAATATTAATAAACGTTCAAATAAAAAAATATTAGTAAATGTTTAAAATGTGTTCGTTTGTAAAGAATGTCTGACGTCAGATGCTGGAAAATTTTAACTGAAGCGAACTTTTTACGTACCCCCGAACTGTGTAATAAATTCCTTGAAAATGACATGTCAGCATGATTAGACAACTCAACCAATAGGAGTCAGCCTCCAACGAACAAAAAAGCAAAGCTCCTCGATATTCCTAGCGCGTGAGGGCCACCGTCCAAGCAATCCACGCCCCATCATGGAATGGGAACACGATTTCTCCCTCACCCCTCATTTTGTACCCGTCTATTAATCTCCTTGCGGGTGGTGTTATTGCCACAGCCATTAATGTTAATGCCACAGCTTTTTTAGTTATTTGACTATTATACCCCTCATTTGAATCCAACTTGGTGGAGTCGCCACTTTCTCCGCGTGGGTTAATGGTCAAATAACTAAAAAAAGCTGTGGCATTAACATTAGTGGCTGTGGCAATAACACCACCCCTCCTTGCTAATGGACAAAGAAAGTAACAAAGATAGAAAGCAGACAACCAAAGATGCAGTGGTGAATTAGAGACACTGACATCTCTCGTGACATTGATTTTTCTGGATGTTTTTTTTTTTTTTGTTTACAAGGACAATAGTTAATATGTTAGGTGAATTATTTATTAAAAATTAAAGATTCGATTATAAGATAAAGGTGAGCGTAACCCCTATTCATTGAAGAGAATAACCTAACCAGTGAAGCGCATAATAAAGTTTTGATTTTTTTGTGTTGTATACGTGTTTGACGTTCACTCATTAAAGAGTAGCTAGTGAATTAGTATTATCTATAGGAATTTTTTAGTTTGTATCTTTGTATATAAAAAAAATGGAAGTTAGAATGTTTATCATAATTATCAAATCAGTGAGTTTTTAATTAAAATTCATGAAATTAATAGTTATGATGGATATATCTTTAAAGATAAATTAGATAAATCCTTTCTTCTATCAAAATATAAAGAAAAAAAAGAGTAAGTTATGGACGTGGACTCTCGTTGCGAGTACTGGTTCACGGGTCCGGTTGTTTAACCCAATAATAATGAAAATGGTATGTACATAGGATTCCCAGCAGTAATAAGTGTAATAAAACCAAGTATATACTTTTTGGCATGAATAATAAAACTAAATAAAATTCATAAAGTGACTTCCCTATTTTACTTTTTGAAAAAATATTATTGAGTATAAGTTAGAAAAATATATTTATTGTAGAGTCGTGATTTATTTATTTTTTATTATATTTATTTAAAATAATTATTTTATTTAAAAAATTATAATAAATTTAAATATTAAAAATAAAAAAATTAATATTTTTTTTATCTTGATTGCATGATAAAAAAAATAATTTATCATATTTTATTTTACTCTTCTTATATGTCATGCGATTCAAAATTAAAATCTTTTACTTTTCATGAAAATAAATAACCAATGAA